GGATTTTTTGGAGTATAGATTGGAGTTTGACTATTTTTAATAATACACCTATTAAAAAAATAGTTTAATATTCAATCTAGGAAGATGTCATAATTTTTCCTAGAATTAATCCTATTTAAAATGGTTATCTTCTGTGTTTTCAAACTGCATCNAAAAAAAACGACAAAAACAATGTGAAAAATCATGTTCAGTCAAGTCAATTTAATTGGTGGGCGTGCATAACTTGCTTGCAAGAGATAATTTCTCTTGCTGGGATATACGTTAGAATAAATGCTTTTGGAGTTCAATGTATGCATTGTGTACTTGCTATTTTGTTCAAGTGTCAATCATAGCTCAACAATTAATATTATATTTTTAAAATAGACATGAATTGAAACAAAAATAGCAATAGGACATCTTACAATATAATGTATATATTGTAATCCAAACAACACAATTTTGCTACCATCGGATGACTCAATTTATGGAGCCATTCACACTTATTCGCCAATAGTGTATTGACACGTGTCCTGTAATAAATACAATTTGGACATGTGTCAATACATTGAGTAGTAGATGGCTCCATAAGAAAACCATCCGATGACTCCATAGAATTTTTGCCAAACAACAATAGAGTTTGCGCTTTTTTTTTTCTGTGCCAAACAACAATAGGGGGCGGATCAAATGCAGCTAGCTCTTAAAATGCGAACAACTCTTAGTAACTACAGAGAACAACTCTTAACAACTACAAAGAACTAACCTAGCAACTAGTAACCTAGCAACTACAGAGAACTAACCTACCAACTATAAAGAACTAACTTAACAACTACAGAGAACTAACATAGCAACTACAGATAACTAACCTAGCAACTATAGAGAACTAACCTACCAACTACAGATAACTAACCTAGCAACTATAGAGAACTAACCTAGCAACTACAAACAACTAACCTAGCAACTACAGGAACTAAACTAGCAACTACATAGAACTAACCTAGCAACTACTAACTTAGCAACTACAGAGAACTAACCTAGCAACTAGAGAGAACTAACTTAGCAACTACAGACAACTAACCTAGCAACTACAGAGAACTAGCCTAGCAACTACATAGAACTAACCTAGTTGGAAGGTTAGCCCGAAGACAGACTTTGTATTGTTTTTTCTGGTTTTCTTTCTTTTTTCTCTTTTTTTGTTTTGTTTTTGTTAGTGACACTCTGTAGACTGTTGTAGACTGTTGTACGTTGATATTTTGGGCCCCGGTTTTGGGGTCCTGATCTATGCACAGGTTGGGGATCCAGCCCAATCTCCCGCCCTTCCGGGGCGTTGTCGGGTCAAAATAATATTTAAATAATTAAAATAATAAAAGAAAAAAAGTAAATCTTGGTCACACATGATTTACCAAATCTTGTGGCTAAAAATGAGTCTCACATCCTCAATTTAAATAAGTGGATGGATTGGAACCAATCTATATATATATATATATATATATATATATATATATATATATATTATAACTTTCAGAGTGTAAGTATTGATTTCTCGTGTTTTTGTTAATACATGACGTTTTTTTTACTCACAATACTACGTAATATAATTCTGAGTTTGGGAATGCATAGGACGTGATTGTATATAATTTGTACAGTAAATATCTCACTCAAAACTCAAATTTAACTCAACTCCATTAGTTCCAATATTATCAATATAATTAAATAATATCAACCAATCATTATTACACATCACATCAACTTTAATTCAATATTCACCCACTCACATAATTTTAACTAACTATCACTTCCAATCATTTTCTCATACTTTTACATCAAATCAATTTTAATTATTCGAATTTAAATATTATTTTAATATATCTACTAACAACTAACCATACTACTTTTTTTCAAATTTAACTATAATTAAAAAAAAAAACTAGTTTTTTACTAGTTGAATTCATATCCAATCAGCCCCATAGCAATTATATAAAATAACAAATTCAATCAAAACTTGATNAAGCTCCAACGAATATGTGATCAATAAATTATTAAAAAAAATTAATAAACGTGATGTGCAAATGATTATTTTTTAAATTAAATATGCAAGTGGGAGTTCATGATTAATTTTTCGTGTCTTACAAGAATAAAATTATGCATAGTAATTTTATCTAAAAATGGTAAATGAAATGTTTCGAAGATGCTTATATATAAGTGAGACTATTACAAACAAGCAAAGTATCCTCGAGCCTTGGTTCATTTATATAACATTACACTTATATGAATCAAGCTCAATCCAACTTTAATCTATATAACATTACACTTATATGGATCAAGCTCAATCCAACTTTAATCAATCAAGCACAGATGATGTGACAAACACCTTATACACAATGTCTATCCTTTAATTAATCAAGTGAATCAAATATTGGGAACAGTGTATCAGTATTTTATCCGGCATACAAATCATGAGTTACAAATACGAGATTAATTTTGTCCAAACAATACACTTCAACCACCTTGTATTAATTAAGTCTTGTCTCATTCAACTAAACAAACGATACTAAAGACGTCAAAATATAGGATTAACTTAAAGTAATGAATACTTAATCACATGTGCCCTTTTCTTTTTATCTTTTAATAATGCTAGAAGCCAATATCATCAATTTCAATCTTTTGTCATCGGTTACTTGTTAGAAGTGTACATGTGAAAAAAGAATAAAATCTGCAAAAGGTTGAATATTAATCATTTTTGGGACGCGGGAATTAAACAATGATACTGGATTTGTACTAGAACTGTCTGAAAATCACAATTTTAATCATGTAACTAATTATTTTTGGACGAGACACATAATTTCAATCAGCACTAAACTTAGCATTAAGGTCATGATTGTTTAGAAGATATTTTATCACTTTTGATCAAATATTTTTTAACTAAAAATGTAACTCAAATTTACTTAACTCAACTCTCCTTAATGTTCTCAATATAACTAAATAATATCAATTAATTATCATCACATACCACATCAATTTTAGTTCATTATTCATTCACTCACATAATTTTAACTACTCATCACTTTCAATCACATATTTCCTACTTTTACATCAAATTAACTTTAATTATTATATTTTAAATATTATTTTAATACAAACTCAAAATTCTATTTAACGCTAAATCATTCAACTCTCTGAAAATTAACACCGATTAACCAACAAATTCATTTAAAACTAAAAATAACTTATATCCAATCACCATCTAAACAAATCATAAAACTTAATTTTACAGAAATGATTTTATCCACAAAAACCGAAAAACTCGTGTTGATCACAAGTTATTAGTGGGAACAACAATACTAGTATTAGGAAAGGCAGACGGTTAATAGCATAAATTGTACTTTTTCCAAAAAAAATATTGAGGGTCGACCTTAAGGGAGGCCTAAGGGTTAATAGAACAAATAGGTATTTTTGTTTAAAAAAATATGATGGGCCAACCCACTAATTTCCTCCCAAAATAATGTGAAATGGAAAATTATCTTGACAAAAAGACGTAATGACGAGATAAATAATACATATTTCCATTAGGACGATTAAAACTTTTTAATCCCAAACTTTAGAAAAACAAAACAAATAACCCCAAAAAAACGAAAACTGCACAAAATTGGAAGTGAAATCTCTGAAACAATAGGTCTAAGGTCTTCCATTCATTCAGTGATTGACTCCAAAAAATTGAACGTAATCAAGGTATGATACCGAAAATGAAACGGACGGAAGGAGATACCAAAGAAAGGAAAAGAGAAAGTGGAATATCCGTTTCGAAAAATTTATCAATGATTCCAAAGTGCTCGCGAACAACATCGATCGACTGAAGTTTTCAACTCGCCATCGAAGCTGATAAACTATTCTTTTGCAAGTTTCAAGGTTTGCATCATAGTTACTGTCAAAACAACCTCTGCCAGAAGTTTCACATCCATGCTTTTTTTATTTTGTTGGTTTGGATCAAGGTTTGAAACTAAATTTATTGTTCGCTGGGTATGGTTATTTATAAGTATATTTGATGTTATGTAATGGTACTTCATGATTTTTCGATATGTTTCATTTTTCTTAGGTAAAAATAAAAACAGTTAAAAAAATATTGAAATTCCATACAATTGATAAACACAATAGACATTAAGTTTCAATGTTTATTATGATTACATCGTTTTTAATTTTTCGAATTAAGTTGGTTGGATAGGTTGTTATTAGTTTATAATTTTTTTCATGTTCCTGGTTCAATGGAAGAAAGTAATCCTAAACTAAACCTTCTAACAACCGTCTAAATAATAAATATGTTGCTTTATTATTGAAGAATTGAGGTATTTTTAATTTTTACATTTTCCATAAAAAAAAGTATAGTGAATACAAAATATTTGAAAGATAAACAAACCAAATATNAATAGACACAGTTAAGTTTGTTTTGTCTTAAATCACACACAAAACAGCCAAAGGTAATCCTACAAATGTTAAGAACATAATATTCAAAATAGTTGTTTCCATGACAAATAACCCCAACAACATATTAAAAGCAGTTTCCCAACAAAAAAGATGATTATTTGTAGGGTTTGATTTCGTTCAAACTGAGCAAGAGGAGAGACAAATGATTTTGGAAAGTAGAAATGGTGAAGAAGAAAGACATTTCCCAATATTAACTTTATCACCTTTTTTAATTAATTAATTAATTAATCAATCAGATTTAAAATAATTAAATGTGAAATTTTAATATCCGATAATTCGTTTTCTTGGTAGTCTGAAGCTTCAAAAGGAATATAAGTTACAAATATGTACATATAAAAATGTTTGGAGGTGCAAGGGGTAATTTTCTCAATTATCAAAAACATTTCACAAATTCTTATGTTCTTATATAAAACAGTATATAACAAGTATACATCTATTATTAAATGTCAACCAATTATACTATCTATACGAAAATGCATACATCTATTATTAAATGTCATAATCATGCTTTTTATTAGTTTTTAAAGTATGATATTATTAATGCATATCTATGACAAAATGCAACATTTTACTCAAAATTGCATAAAATATTGCTGGCACTAATTTTTTTGCTACACTCTTGCAACAGTTCCAACACATAAGGTACAATCATTGGAAACTTCCATGGCAAATTTTAACGAAAACAAAAAAAAGCCAAAAAAAAAAAAGGGATGATCGTTATTTCCTCTCCAAGCCCTCCTTGACAAGCCATGTTGAATTAATTTTCAGTTTTTTTATATTTCAATTCTTGAATTGAAAGGATTTCGTGTCACTGCTAGGAGAAAGAACAGTTTGTACATTGCATTGGAATCTGCCAAGAAGAAAAACTAAAAGATTAAAATCCCAGGTTGAATTAGAAATAAATCCTTTAACTCTTAAGACTATAGTATGCTTACATAAAAGTGCATACATAAAGCTATAGTTGCTTTCATCAGATTAACGTAAAAAAGTACAAATTCTTGTGTGAGGCTGTCTAATCATTAGACGGGTCCACCCATCATACTCCGAACAAAAATGCATACAACACACCACAAACCTTTTTTGCGACTTTGAAAATGAAGTTAGTTACATTTTTTAATCTTCATGCTCATCATCTTCATCCTCAGAATCTGCACCAAAAGATCAATTAAGGAATATAAATAATTATCATAAAAGCAACTTGCTCAAGATACGAAACGTAATAAAGAATAAAAAAGGTAAAACAAACGGAGGATGAATATTCAGTAAAAATAACGATAATGATAATTGATAATAATGATATATACAAGCAATTGATTAGTGGTTTTCGAATGCCACTTACCGGACCTAACATCTTCACTGACTCGTCCCCTTGCTTGGATTTGCTTGACGAGCATTCGGTACATCAACACCCACCAATATACATGAAGAACGAGTAAGGAGAAAAGAAGGAAATTGAAAATGTAGTAATAGATTGGTCCATCGACTTTGTGTTTTTCCTTATCCAATGTCTGTACGACTTCATAACTGCATATCACAAAAATTTGGGTCTATAAACTGATAAAACATATGAAAGAGTATTAAGGTTGTGTTTGGTAAGCATTTAAGCTAGCTTATATCTTATTAGATTAGCTTATAAGCTTCCTGTATTGAAATAAGTTATGTTTCGTAGGACGAGTTTTTTTAAAAAGCTCGAGCTTATCCATAAGTTTTCTTGGGTAGCTTTTCAAATAAGCCCATTGAAATTTTTATTTCAGCTAATTTTACCAAACACTTTTATCATATAGCTATCAACTATAAGCTCGAAATTAACTTAAAAGCTATAAGCTAGCTTATCAGTTAGGTTTACCAAAACCTAAACATTGGTATACCTAAACATAGCCTAACGAAATAAATTTCATGCATAACCCGATTTTAGTGAAACAAAGCCTTTTTCTAACATAGAGATTAGAATATACACCTTGTGCTCCATAGAATCCAAAACGGGTAGTATATAAGGCGAAGAACAATCCACGACAATACAAAGAGGACAAACGAGAAGCTAGCCACTGCCTCGGCCCCACTGTACTTCGACATCTTCCCGATTTCAAGAAACACATCACTCGCATCGTGAAGGGCTAAAACGACAGAACCCACACGAGCAAACCTGCAAAAAAAGATTTAAAAAAAAAAAAATGAACAAATTCAAAAATGAAGTCTTTTCTAGTGCAATACTATGGTGGTGTTTGGTAAGCATACAAGCAAGCTTATAAGCTAGCCTGTATTCAAATAAGCTTGGTTTGGTAAGTTTTCTTTGGTAGTTTTTCAAATAAGCCCATTGAAATTTTTATTTCAACTAGCTCTCCATGAGCTAATTTTATAAACATTTTTATCATATAAGCTAGCTTTTCAGCCATACGTCATAAGCTATCATCAGCTATAAACTCGAAATTCACTTAAAAGCTATAAGCTAACTTATGAGCTAGATTTACCAAACATAGCCTATATTTCATTTCATTTTTGAAAGAAATAACAACTCTTTTACAAACACACCTGAATACATATGATAAGACGATGAGAATGAACGTGGCAACGTGGTGACTCATAGAGACCCCAAAATCCGAGCGTCTCGTTTCCCAAAATACCAAAGCAAAAATGGAGTACGAATAGAATCCACCCGCAAACATGTAGAGGCCCTTCAGTTTCAGCCTGAATACCAACATACCAACAAGAAAAGGCAGTAACTTTTAACTAAACAATCAAGAACAAAGAGAACCCACGACTAACAAAAGTCGATAATAATCCAATTATCCAAGTAAAGAGACTTAGAAACGGTGCAAAAAATATATTCATACTTGTATGCTTGGTCAGGCCAGACTTGGTTACCGGGCCCCACCCAGAAATATTTTGTCTTTCTGAACCAAGGCTCGTTGTAAGTCACGGCAAGCGCCAATATCTCAGCAGAAAGATAATAGATGCATTTCCAAGCAGATTCTTTGAACTTCCTTATCTTCTTCTTTTGATCATCCGTCTCATTTTCCACCAATTCCGCTGCCTTTCCGTATATTACCCGCCTTCCAACTTTCTGCGACATGTAGAGTCGAGTCAAAATTGAGCCGAAACAATAGTAATAATGGAAAGTCTTCAAATAAGCAAGAAAAGACTTTTTAGGTTTAATCTACGAACTTTTGAAGTTCAAGGATCATTAAAAACTCAGCTGTATGGTCAGAAGAAAAAAAAGAAAACGAAAAGAATGCAGAACTAAGATCAAAGATCACTCAAGTCTCACCCTTATGTATTATGTTTGTATCATTATATATTTATAAGTGAAAATACATGTGTGGAATATTTATATGTTTGCAAAATTATTCCAAAGTATAAGGACAGGAAAATAACTTTACTGTTTCGATAGTGTAAATGACCAGCAAGCCATTGGTTGCCAAAGATTCAGATATTTTTATTCAAATTTAAAGCTCTTTAGCTAGTCTGAAAATTTTCCTAATGTTCGACAACCAGAAAAAGAGAAACGAAAGGTAAAAGATATAGACAGAGAGAAAGAAGGAAGGAAAAAGGATAACAAACAGGAAATCTAGCAAGATATGAACCAATTTGGCCATTTGGTCCTAGATAAGATGTTGATAAATAAAGTTACTAGTTTAGATGGTACACGAGCCAGCAGGTATTAAACATACTCTACAATTCCAATCAGCAAGCCAAAGCTTAAATCTTCAAGTATTATACAAAAATCGGAACAAGTTCAGCTACACTCGTTTAACATACAATAATTCAAATTCTCTGTTCAATCTATTTCGAGCAACTCCAGGATGCTTGGACAAAATATGGAGACAAAAGATTAATTTCAAAGACTTCACGAGGAACTTCAAGGACTAAAACAGCTTGTATGCCTTTTTTCCCTTATACTATTGCTCAAAATCTTAATTCCTACAGAGGAAACATTTAAGATAACTAAATTTTATCAAGATCACATTTCAACATATGAACCTACACTTGGGAGTTGGGAGCAACAAAATTAAATTTTTTTCACAATTTCCTATTCCTATCAAGAACTGAACCACGTTGACCAATAAAACATCAGCAAATCAGATCATAAACCCAATATACCACAGAGTTCCTTATCCACAATCCAAACTTGCACCAGCTTTAATCACATAATACATTCAAACATTTATTATATCAAGAATAAAGCGTCAAACAAAAGCATAAATCCAAATGCCACTCCCAGAACCCATAAAGTATAAAAAATAAAATAAAAAAGCAGAAAAATAGCCAAGTGACTTCTGTGAAACTATTCAAGCCAGAATGAATAAGACCCAGATTACAAAAATTGGAAAGAGGATATGAAAAAGTAGAGATTTTTAGAAAGAATAACCTCAAAGACGAATCTGTCGAGCAAAAATCGAACTGTAGGGAAAAGCATAGCAAAAAATGGAAGCACGACGAAATCCTCGTACTGCGGGTAAGATTCTTGCTCCCAGTCAATGGGATTCATCAATTCTTGAAAACCCATCACCAAAACAAATTATTAGGACAAATTGGTTGTCTTAAATCGAAGAAATAGGTCAGTGCACGCGAGCTTTTGAATCATGGAATAGTGATGGCAAACAGATTTGTTGGGTCATGTTTCTATGCAGAGATAGAAACATATCTGGAGTTAAACAAGCTTTTATGTTATGGAATATTATTTAATACAGTATTTATTCATATATTTTTATTACCATCTCCTGTGAATGAAAAGATTGGATCAATACAGACTTGATTGAGGTTTTATTTTATAAAATATGAACTGAAAAAAAAATCAATTTCATCTCTTTTTTTTTTTGTTTTTGGTTTTCACTAATACATTTGAAAAGTAAAAATTAAATAATATTTATACCTATCAACTACTATTGTATTATTTTTATATNCTCACTAGTTATTCATTATGCATTAGGCAATTGTTTGTTCTAAAAACTTCTTTTTTCAGGAGTTTGAATTAGAAATGGTAATTGTAAATTTAGAATTTCTTACTATAAATTATAAAGCTTTAAATAAAGTTCACATTGCTCAACTATACAAATTACATAACAAAATAAATTTTTAAGTCCCCAACTAAATAATTTTTCAAAATTCATAAAGAATTGACTGTCTAAATAAATGAGACCCGTCAACAATTCTGGGAAACCCAAATTTGTAACGAATTATCACATTGACAAAGTCTGCAGTCAGTCACCTCAGTTTATTAGAGCATCTCCAATGTAGCTTTTGACATTATAAAAATTCATCCATATCATCAACTTTTAGAAGTGTGTTACTAATTTGTTCTCCAATGCATCTTGTCATGAGCTCTTTCATGATGAGGTGGATAGCATTTAATGTTGACAATGTTGAGCACACTTTCTAATACCTAACACCATGTTAAACATGATGACTAATCAATTCACTTTATATTTGATTTAATTTTTTATTGTTCTTGTATTAATGATTATTTTAATTGGTTCACCTATACAAATAACTTCTTACCAAATTGATGCATTGGAGATACTAGTTTGATTCAAATTTCTACTCTTTTAACATTATTCCTACATGGATTAACATTACAATCATTGATTGACATGTGTTAAAAATCATTGTCTTTCAAAGCTATAGCATTGGAGATGCTCTTAGGATAGTGGACCATCCTCTCAATTTATTTTTATTTTCCTTTTTAGATGGCAATATGTTGATGCAAAAATATCACCAACTTTTCTCAACTTGCATATTTAATTTAAATTTTTTTTAACCTGTTAATAATTATATTAATTTGCAATTGTTTATTATATGAACTCCTATTTACACACTAGAATATTTCTCATTGCAAATATATGTATATGTATATTCAAAATTTGCATATTTAATCAAATAATTTCAAATTTATACATAAATACATGTCGTTTTTTCCCCAAAGGTGAAGATTACTAAATAGTAAAAACATTAGGCTAGCTGAAAAACATCATAAATGATTATTTTATTAATTCATAAAAGCTCGATAATGGTTGTGTCCGCCGTAGCTTTTTCCCCCTATTTTCGTGTATTCTTATATTTTTTACGTAACTATGCTTTGCCGGAAATACACAGTTGATGCAAGCTAAATTAACCAGGATTTATTCTGAATCTATTCGAACTGTGAACAAAAAAAATCATATATTGATATGTAAACTTGAAATATTTGGTTGATTTATGAAATTTCATGAAATAAAAGAATTTTGCATCCCACTGTTGAGGAGCGTTAGTCAATTTCCTTTTCGGAAAAATCATATAAGTAGGAAAATTTGTCAAAAAAGTGATAAAAAGAAAAGAAGAAAGTAGCTGCTTATGAATACTAATTACTAAGTACTAACTAATAGCAATGTTATTGGACAATAAGTGAATAAACCATTAAAAATGGATTTGTAGATTCAATATTAACACTGTAACATTGACATTAACTGAGGAATTATTTGACTTTTTTTTTTTTCTCTAACTTTGAATGTTAAAATAAGTTGATATCTGTATTCGTTAATAACAGGGTAATTTTGATTACGCGCACAGAGTAATTTGACTTTTCCAATTTTGAGTATTTGAGTGCTGCATGAATGTGTGATACCGTTGATCATTAGATACACATGACATATGTACAAGTTTGTATTGATTCAACAGTCAAATATTCAATAATTATAAATATGGATCGAAAATTTCGATCTCGGACCGTGTCTTTCGAGGAGGATGGTCTGGAGCTAGTCTCACAATTTAGTCGCAAAACACACACACAACTTAAGACAGTTAACTAAGAGCTTGACTTAATAATCTCCGAGCACTATAACAAAAAAGACTTCTAGCAACATAAATATGGTGACATTTTTTAATAAGTGTAATTAAATTGATGTGTTTGTGACGCTTTTTAAAAAGCGTTATAAAAATAAACATATAACAACATTTTTTTTTTAAAAATGTAATCAAATCATGTCACTTTTTAAAAAGTGTCATTATATATGTTAATCAGTATTGGGACATTTATTTAAAAGTGTAATGAAATTATAACGTTTTATACAAAAGTGTCGTCATGTTTAGTTAATTATTTGGCGACACATTTTGAAAACCGTATTAAAATAATAACACATCTTTAGAAAATGTCACAATTTTTACTAGTATGACAACATTTACCTCAAAGTGTAATTACGTTATGACACTTGTACAATTGCGTCGCCATTTTTAAACATTTAACAACACTTAAGAAAAGCGTAATGATTTAGTTAGTGACAATAAAAATCGGAACTTGCTAGATAGCTAAAAGACTCACTAATCGCGAGCTGTGAAATAGTGTAGCTCGTCAACACTCGCGGGGCAGCCAGGTGATTCGTGCAACGTGGATGCAAGACGGTATCGACGACATGCGACACTCGTGAGCCGACGTGAGCTGTCGCCGGGCGCAGGTGAGGTATCTCGACAACGTGCGACACCTGTTGGGTAGTTCGGTCACTTGTGTGGCGCGAATGCAAGACGATCGACGACGCTCGCACTCACGAGCTGGCGAAATGGTATGCTAGCCAGCGGATTTCCTCTACTCTCGACGACGGTGTGTCGGCGACTGCAGGCGATGGATGGGCATCGGCAAGCGTCCCTTGGTGACATCGAGCGGGTTCCTTGGCAAGAGGCGAGGCTATTGCGACAGGGGCTCGTCGAGGCTAGGTGACGCACGATGATGACTCGTCGATGCTTCTGCGGCAACTTGGTTTTTTTGGCAAAGGCACTTGTACTCGGTAATAGGCGGAAATTTCTCAGGCAACACTTTCAGTAACTGACATCAAACGGGAGACTGTGACGAAATGATCGAAAATAGACATGAATGTTTAGTGCATGATTATGACTCTTGTGCTCGGGGCTCGAGTTCGATTCGCTTCCTCTTTAGTTACAATCAAATGGACATGAAAACACGAAAAAGTGCGACCAAAACAAAGAAATAAAATTCAAAGACGAAAATAGAAGAAACATACAAAACTGGTCCGCATGACACATAAAGGAGCCAAAACAAGCTCGACTCACCACAAAAATAAACACAAAACATACAGAATTAAATTGCAGTAAAACAATATCTTCCGAATAAATGTTTGTTGGCCTAGCAAACAATAAAAGAATCGAAGTTTGAAAATTAATTTTGTTTGGGTTAGAAGTTTCAAAATTCCTACATATATATGTAAGATTGTACTATTTTATTTGAAATCTAGGTAGTTTTCAAATGCCTAATATATACTAGATTCATTTCTTTGAGAAAATATTCAAATTCAAAATGTAGTCATTGTCAAGTAACCTTGAAAATTATTTATTTGTTTGATATCATAGGTAGCCTGAAAATTAAATAAATTATTTACGTGATTTTAAGCAGAAAAACAAAACCCTGAAAATCAAATAGTACTATAAAGTCAAAATACCAGAAATAATTAATTTACAGCTAGAGAATTCTAGGCCTGCTGCCTATATTGAAGGGGATAAATTATGACCAAATATCCCACCTATGACTCATTCATTTATATCCGTACCGTAGCCCTTTCCAAACCATAGAAAGACTACAAAAATTAATGGAGAAAAACATGGGGCTTTCTAGAAATGTACAGTACTTGTTTTAAATTATTTTGCTAGTGAAATTATACCTTGAAAAGGCATGTAATTTTTCTTAGTAAATGTTATTATGTCTCAAGAAACTAGGTTTCAAAAAAATGATTTCTTGAATTACTTTTGTTCATTTTCTTTTTCAAAACACAATTGTAATGTCCTATAAATAGTTTCTAGGAATAAATTATTTTTGGGTTCCAAGAAAATGATATCTTGAGTCTTGTTTGTAATTTATTTTTTGTAAAATGCAAATAATAATTCACTATTCATCCACTTACATAATTTTGACTAACCATCACCTCATAGCATCTCTCTCCTACTTTTACATTAAACAAATTTTAATTATTTTATTTTAAATATTATTTTAATATAAATTCAAAATCTCACTAACAACTAACTACACCACTTTTTTAAATTAACCCTAGTTAACTCAAAATAATTCACTTTAAGTTAATACACTTAAATTATTCCTTTTAACAAACACCCTAAAAATCATCTTTCGTCATCAAGTGACTACTATATTTCCATCTTTTGAAAAGATAAATGGCTAGAAACTAATATTAGCACTAATTTAAAATGTGCATTTCTTTAAAAAAAAGAAATTGCCTTGAATATTACCTATTTCTTCTCCTTAAGTTTTAATCATTTCTGTTGTATCAAAATCTAAGTAGCTGATATGTAGATCTCTTGAATTAAACGAGTTGTTTTTTAGCTCAACTCGCGAAGGTTCGAGCTCAGCTCGACTCGTTTGATTAACTAGCCCAGCCCGAGCTTATTTAAGACACGCCAAACTTGATAATTAAGATCACTATTGGATTTTCTCAATCTTTAGTATAATTAAGTTTGTTAAGCCCCGAGTTGACTTGTTTAAGAGTCGAGCTTGTTTGGAGCTCTACTCATAGGGCTCATCACAAGATCACTAAAAGACATTAAATAAATTAAAAAGAAATCTAGTAACATAACAAAAACATCAAAATCTTAAGTCGGCCAAATGTTTCTATTTTTATTTTTTATTTTTTTTCACACTNAAAAAAAAAAAAAAAAATACAAATTGCTGTGGTCCTCAGGCAATTTATTGGGTTTGAGTTAATTGAAGCCAAAAAAAACCCTACCTTCATTTGGCCTTGTATGACAAGGTTTTTTGTACAGTGGCATGTGAGGATGTTGAAATAATTAAAACGAAAAAACAAAGATACACACACAAAATGCAGCTAACAAAGAGTGTGAAGGCTCAACATCACCAAACAGTGTCTAACTGACATAATCAAGAAAACATTAGCTGCCCCAACTACATGTTTTAGAATAAAATCCACACCTAATTAAGGTAATGTCTAATGTTATTGTCTTGTCTCCTTAATTTGGAAGGTGTAGAAAATTAATAAAACACAAAAAATGATAAAATGAAGAGCAAAGGAAAAAAAAGACAAAGGAGGGAAAACTCCCATAAAGAACCACCTAGTGAGATAATCAAGAATAGACATGTAAACGAGCTCGGAATTCAAAGTCGAGTTTGTCTAATTGATTAAACAACCTGATAAATAGCTCGAACTCGACACATTTATCAATATTAGCATTCAAAGTTGAACTTTAACAAGCAGAGGTAAACTAAAAGTTAGGAAAATTGCATAAATATCCATATTCTCGAGCCTAATGAGCGATGAGCGATTTGACTAATTTACTAAACGAGCTTGTAACTTGTTTATCACACAACTCGATCCAAGTTCGAGCTAAGTCAAGTTCACGAGTGACTCGTTTTATGTAACAGCTCTAATCAACCAGTATTAAGACACCAAATATATTTATCNTTCCTTTCATCATCTAACCATCTAAGAATATTTTGTGCGAGACTTTTAGTTACACAACCGATAATAAACACCTAATCATCACGTAATCTGTTTGAAAAGTAAAAAAAAAAAAGTTGCGATTTAAAAAATAGATAAATACTAGTATTTCTAAAAAACAGAAGTAGTATTCTAAAACATGTAACAATAAATGAATTCATAGAAAAAAAAAAAAAATTGGAATGAGAATTTTCCCTACCAATGGATCAGAGAAAACCGCAAGTCCTCAGTTAGAACTGATATGTATTCGTGTTGTGGTTTGCTTAACTATTGAAGATAGACAATTATAATTTTTTTAATTGAATATATTATTTCTAAGCATTATAAACGAAAGTATGAAATATCCCAATATAAATATGATCTCCTAACAAATTGGCTGATTCACATGTATATACTAAAAATGAACATAACAAAATTGATTAGACCTAATTAAGCCATCAACACTAACTAAACATTCCCTAAACATGCCAAGTTTCTTGCACATAAAAGAGTAGGTTAGAGCTAAATAATATGCTTTCAACCCCTCTAATCCCTAAACCAGGAAGCCACTCAGTTTCTTTTTTTTTTACAAAAAACAGGCCAAACCTCAATAATAAATTTTGCAATAATCCTAATGAAAATGAAACATGTGGACTGGCTCATAAAAGATCAATTACAGCAGTAAAAAAACAAATAAAAAAATAAGAATAAAAATAAATAAACAAAAGGCCAAGAAAAGGAGATTACAACAAAGGGTTGATTTTGGATAATGACCATACACATGTCTGTCATCCAAATTATAACCAATGCATACAATCAGCCAAAATACACAGTTGGATTCAAAAAAAAAAAAAAAAAGGTTATAACTTGTGAGCCTCTCTTTCTCTTTAGCTACTCTAGCTAAAAAAACATGGGCCTTTTACCATACATTCTTTTGCCATTTGTAGAGTGAGGCTTACCTGTATTTTAGCAGCTTTACATTTATGAAGCAGACAGAGGAGTAAGCCAGTGAGTAAAGTAAAACAAATTAGCAGTTTTTGAGGTGTAATGAGAGAGCAATCAAGAAAAACAAAGTATCTTCCAATTTAATAGGTGCCCAAAACCCCCCAACCAAAACAAAAGAAAGGGAAAAAAATAAATAAATAAAAATTCATGTTCTATAAGTTGAGTGTTTGTTTGTTTTTGTTTGCAGTTCACCTGTAAAGGTGTAACAAAAGCCAGATAATTTATGTACGTGCAGAGACAGCTAAGCAGTACTTTCTCATTCAATGATGCATGAAGAAAACAAAACAGTCAAATAGAGAAGAAAAGTGGGAAAAAAAAAAAAAAGATTTAAAAGATATTAGGCAATTGCCCAATAGCCATTGCATTTAGCAGTTGGTTTTCATAAATACTGTCATCATCATCAGCAAAGTTCTTGTTTTTCTCTTCTCTCCCTGCATAAGCCCAAACAGAGAATTAAAAAGATAGGGAAGAAAAAAGCAAAAAAGAAAAGAAAAAAAAATGGATTCTTCGAAAACGAAAATTCTCGACGGTGATGAAGAATGTAGCAGCAGTGAGTCCGGCTGGACAATGTACATAGCTTCATCACCGGACATCGATAATGCAGACAACCTTGAAGAAGAAGAGGAAGCTGATGTCAGCTTAGGTAAGCAGGGCTGCAAGAAGGACGATGATGACGTGGACAGCGATGATGACATGGCTTCCGATGCATCATCCGGCCCGATCGATCAGAACCGACATTTGTACAAAAATGGTGCTTCGGCAGTCGGCCATGCAGGAAAAAAAGATGAAAAGAGAAAGTCTGCTACTGATGAGAAAAAATATGAGAAGCAAAAAAAGCATCATGAGAGGAATGGAAAAGGAGATAAGTAAAAGCTTTTGCAAGTTTTGAGGTAATGAGTAAAAGTTGGTGGGATTTTGTAGCTCGTGTTGTTTTTTCGATGATTTTTTTTTTATTTTTTTTTGGATTGTGTATTGCTTTAGTATGAAATGTTTGCTCGACTAATGCGTATGTATGAGTTTCTTTTTGTTTTTTTTTTCTGGGTTTTTTTAGAGCATTTGGCTAGTTAAGAAGATGTAATAAGTCATACTTCTATGGCAATTTTGGTGGAAAGTGTACAAAAGGGTGAAAAATCCAACAATGTTGTAAGCCAGAAGAGTTTGGGAAATATTTATATAGATTTTCAAGTTAATCTTTCATATTGTCATCCTCTTATATTGCATCTTTTTATGGTTTTCAGTTGGGGATTGTTCGAGTGCATCTATGTTAAACTAAGTGCATTTCAATGAAGAAATTGAAGTACAAAACATATAACCCAGCAAACGGGAAAAATTTGGATACTCATGAGAGATTCACTAACTTACAAGAATTTGTGCAGAGATTCACTAAAATACGGCAGGTCGACCCGTCTAACGGTTAGAGAGCCTAACACAAGAATTTGTGCAGAGAAAAAGTTTTAAAGAAAGGAAACTAAAGAAAATTACAGTGAATCAACTGTATAACTGAGCTTTCACTGTCACTGAGTACAGTCGATTATCAACACAATAGTTCATGCTTACAATATATTAAGGGAAATATGGATACAAAGTTTAATTATCTCCGCCAAAACGCAGCAAAAGGTACTGATCAACAAAATGAAACACAGATCCGACCCAAAGGTAGACATCTCTGCAGAACCCAAGAGGAAAACTGTACAAAAGATGAGTCATTTAGCGCACACACCAAAAAGAAATATAAAAAGAACTCACCACAAATCCGAACTACATTGCTAATCACGGAGTCTTGAATCAAAATTGCTTGCTAGAAATTTAACTTGCTACACACAAAAAGAACCAATTTAAACAGATCGCAAAAGGCAAAAAGAAATGAAATTTTGCGACCCAACAGCTGAAAAAAGTCCTTGATGAGGTACCATTATCAGTAGAACAAGTTTTAAATTCCATAAATATATCTCCTCCTATTTCATAATTAAGATATATTTTGGTATTTTTGCGTTTAAGACATTACCATCTATTTTTACAATGTCCAAATTTAACACTTTCAAAACATCTATGTAGTTGCCATATGGGCTATTAAAATAATTTCCACATAGTATACAATTTTGTTAATGCTTCAACTCAAATTATTATGTAGTTGCCAAAATATTTCATTAAGTCACACGGGAATAATTTTGTTCTTCGTTTTTTTGTATAGGCATTTTCAATTATAATTTAAATAAGTTCTATGTATAATAAATGTATAGATTTAATTTCAAATTATTTTTATATAGCAAAAATAATTTCAAATCCATTTCCAACTTACACCAATAAAATGAGGAATATCTGAATTTGAATTTAAATTATATCTCCAACTTACACCGATAAGATAGAAAGGTCGGTAAATTTGAATATAAAATCATCTCCAACTATAAGATGAAGACCGAAACCTCACAACATATTGGTCATCGATCTCAGTAGTGAGGCGTCCTCCAAAGATATCGTTTTCATGGTGTTCTGGTGAAGAGAGACGACGAAGATGTCAGATGTCACCATTGACAGCCTCATCTACAATTAGTTGATTAGCCGCCTTCTTGCTCTCCAAAATCGCGGTCGAGAAGTCCTTCTTCCCACTTTACCTGTTCAGAGCAAGAAAAGGATTCAGATTGCCGGAGCCAATCACTTGAACCAAATAACAAAGAAAAAAAAAAGAGATAAAGCGAGAAAAGAAAATGGAGAAAAACATAATTCCATCGACGGTGAATGACTGAGATATGAGAAATGGAAAACTTACTGACATAGCGCAAATCCCGGAAGGTCATCCACCACGCAAGCTCCAAAGTCAATTGCAGGTATGACAGAGCAGATTTTCGAGGAACAAAATCCTTGCATAAGTCGCTTCTCGGTCAAAATTTTGGCAGTAAAAACCGAAAAAAAAATAAGAAATGAAAACTTTTTTTGGGGGCTTTTTCTAAAACCTACCTCCGCCACGATTTCCTCCGAAATCTAGGTTCTGGCAGTCGGATGACGGCGTAGCGGCGGCGGCTCTATGACGCCATGCTGAAGCTGACGGAGGCCGCGCAGGAGAGGGGCACCGACCCTCTAATTTGGGTCTCGTGATTGTCCTCGAGCCTCGTGTCTGCAGGCGTCTCCACGCCGTCCGTCGAGGTGGTGAAGCTCCTCGAATCCCACATCTGCTTGTCGAACAATAAACCAATCGCGTGGAAGTTCGGGAGGCTGTCGTCCGTCTCCACATGAGGGCAAACTACACATCGATCTCAGCAGTGAGGCGTCCTCCAAAGATATCATTTTCATGGTGTTCCGGTGAAGAGAGATACAAATTTATCTTCACGTAAAATTAGGATTGTTAAAACAAAATGGTTTGTGATATATCTTGTTTCCTAAATAATTGACTTACCAATTATTGAGATCCACGAATTCCACGATTACGGCAAAAAAATGAATACTTGCGGAATAGATTTCCTAAAAATCCTCACAATTGATTTCATAAAAAATAGATTTCATATATACGGCTACAATTGATTTTCAGATGTTTTAAAATGGTTGTCATATCTAGTAAGTCAACTTATTTGACAGCAATTTTATTAAAACTTTCCTCATTTGATTTATTTACCTCTCTTTTTCAATATATATAGATTCCATACAACTTACAACTATCTATCTAGATACATAACTTGAATTTCAAAATGCACATACCAAGAGTCCCTCCCGACCCTTTGTTTTGCAA